GGCAAATAATAATTTCTCATTAGGGAATTTTTCCTTAATCTCCATTTCATTCCTTAATTCTTTTATAATTTCTAGCTTAGACAGATGATCAATCACATGGGGTTTTGGATGAGTGATTTCTATAGAATCCAAAGGTTCAAATTTCATACCTGGTCTAGCTATGAGTAAGCTAGACTGACTCATCTCCTTTGGAATATCCTTGAGCTCCTCTTTGTCTTCTTCATCTTCATCAAGCTTAAAGTGACTATCAGTGCATAAAAATTTGTTGTGCCAAAATTCTGCAGCTTTCCTTTGGTCATCAACTCCTATTGATGGGGGATTTTCTATTACCGTGCAAAATTTTTCTTGTCTTCATTAGTTGCACTCATCGAACCCTCATCATTGTTTTGCAGCGATTGTGAATCTTCATGCACCTTTGGATCTTCATGCACAATCTCATGACCTGGCTCTCCGAGTGTTACCCCCCAAACTTAGTATATTTGTAGATTTTGGTGCCACTCTTTAAGATGAATGTACCACAATGCTCCATGTCTTAAGCCTTAGTGACTTCAGTATCACTAGGTAGATTGCCATGTGGGCAAAAATGTAATGCCGTGGCAATTTGACCAACTTGACTCTCCAAGGCCCTCAAAGATGAGCTATGGCTTTGAAGTAAAGTTTCTTGGATTTTTATAGAGGTCGCATGGTCATGCAGTATGGTCTTCGTGGTTGCTATAAAATCTAGCATTGTGGACTCCAAAGAACTTGTGTTAGATGAAGATGATACTCCCTCGTTAGAATTATGCCATGGCATATTCGTTTGAAAACCCTGGGAGTCATTGAAGTTTTGCTTCCTAGCAGGCTGACTAGCACTCTAGGTTCCTTGATTTCCCCAAGAGAAGTTTGGACGCTGACACCATCCAAGATTATTAGAATAGGGGTTGTTGTTACCTCGATTATAGATATCTACATAGTGGATGGATTCCAGATTGGTCGGGCACTCTCTCTCATTGTGATTGCCATGGCATATAAAAATGCTGAATTGACTGCCTTTACTTCTCTCATCTCACTTAGCCTTTGTAAATTCTTCAACATATTGGTGATAGCAGCAAGTTGGGCGGACATTGAATCCTTAGAATCTAGCTCGAAAGCTCCATGTGATTTTTTCCCAAGTCCAAGCCTTGTAGATGAAAATTGATAATCGTTGTTGGCAATCCTATCCAGAACGTCAAATGCCTCTGCTGGTGATTTGTCAAGTAATGTCCCATTTGTCGAGGCATCTATCATCATCCTCGTGGGTGCATTAACTCCATTGTAGAACATCACAACTTGAGTCCAGTCGTGGAATCCATGATTGGGGCACTTGCGAAGCAAACTTTTGTATCGATCCCAGCACTCATACATAGACTCTTCATCGCCTTGGTGAAAAGATGCTATGACATTTCTAAGTTGGTTGTTCATATTGGGTTGATTATGCCATAGCAAATTTTTTTTGCACAAGTCAGCCCAAGACCTTATCGAGCCGGAAGGTAATCCATTAGGCCATGCCCTGACATGATCTTTCAAAGAATATAGAAATAACTTCAATTTCAACACATCCTCATGCACACCTTGTTTTCGAAAAGAGTCACGGACCTCCAAAAATGACCGAAAATGTTGCCTTGCATCCTCATGAGGAGTACCACCACTCTGTCCAATAAAGTCCAACATGTCGAACATAACCGATTTTAGCTCAAATTCGGCTGCCTGAATCATGGGTGCCACAATTCCAGGATTTAGGTTATCCATGATAGTGTTTAAATGATCTCGAATACTATGAAGCCTAGCTTTATTCCCAGTATTCGAAATTGCCTCGGCATTCTGATCTTCCTCTTGACCAATTCCTTGATTTCTGATCTGATACATATTTGCTTGAGCACGTAAAATAAAAACCTGAAAAAGACAAGGAAAATAACAAGTAAAACTATACAAAAAAATAAACAAGTAAAATATAAATGCTATGACAAAACAAATTAACTTCGAGTTGCCAATCCCCGGCAACGACGCCAAAAACTTGTCCGCTCAGTATTAGTACTATAAATGAGTGCGGATATATGTGCAAGTATACACAATCAAACAAGTAATACAGTGATAAGTGAGTATCGTCTCCACAGGGATTGGGAGAAATCAAATACGTTTTTCAAGGCACTTTACTCTGTCACCTAAGTAAAGTTAGTGATGGTATATACAAATGATAATGATGTGGCAAAATGAAATGACTGATGTGGAAATGGAACGATGGTAATGTGGTAGCGAATGGATATGTCGTGGTAAAATAGATTATGTTTAATGCAAATAGATGGAAATGTCAAGGTAAAATAAAATGTAAATATACGAGTTGATTAATATATAGGACTTTACCTTTTTCACACAACAAGCAACTATGGGAATGAGCGATGGGAGTCACTAGGAAAATCTAAGTCTATTTCTCCGAATAGTATTTCTTCTATGTCTAACCTGCCCGACAGAGTCTACTGAGGTGCCCTATGCTATCTTTAGTAAGGGACTCGACAGATTGAAGATGCCCTGGAAAAACCGATTGGCATAAGCCCATGCAGTGATCCTATTGGTCCAGATAACAGGATATGCCTCGGCAATACCTTTTTGTGGTAGCATTAACATCTAACCTATCGTTTATGCTCTACTCCTTCTAGTCGAATGAAATCATATCCTTATCTCTAAGGTGGATTAGGCCTAGTTACTACCTAGAACCCCTTGTTTATGTGGTTCCTCCCTTGTTTCTCTTGAATACTAAGGATATTTTGCCAAGGTATTCTCTCGAACCCTCAAAACCTCTTAAAGAAAGGCTACTCTCGTAGCTCCTACAACCTTAAGACATTAAGTATCATAAACAAAATAGATTAAAGCATATAAAAAACAACCATTCATTGAAATAAAACTTAAACATCCATGCGAACTCCCACCAAATAGGATTAGTTCATGGTGGGGTTTGAAATAAATGAGCACAAAGGAAGTTCTATTCGTTCCTTACAGCCCAATAACAAAATATGAAAGAAAAGAACTAGGGGATGAGAGAAAGCCTTTGACCTGCACTGCCCAATGCTTCCCTCGGCCACTAAGAAATGCTCCCAGCGAACTGGCTCCTCTCGGACGCTCAGAATGCCACTCCCTCTGGCTTGTCTAGAAGAAATGCCACTGCAAATAGGATTAACGGAGAAAGATGAGACATTCTCTCTCTAACTTTTTAAGCTCAAATCTGAGTGGAACCAAAGTCTTCAATAATATGGCTTCATCCTCTATTTATAGGGGAAAATTAATCCTAGGACTTGGTGTTGATTATCCTAGGAAACCCCAAAACCATGGTTAAGTTGCTTGGGAGTCGGGCAGAACAGGCTATGATACAGCTTGGGTAGTTGTCTGAGTGACCAGCATAATCCCTTTGCAGGTGCCCAAGGACAGACAGGATCTGCAGGGTCAGTCAGTGTCATCAGCAGAACCGACGGTTGCAGTACCGGTCCCTACAAGCGGATCTTTGAGGTGGATTTCTCGGGCAGAGCTCTCGGAAAGTCGGATATAGCTGGCTTCAAAAATATCTTCTCGCACTTTCAGCGCTTTCGAAATGCCGGTTGAACTTGGTAAATTCATTTTGCTCAGCAATCTCCTTATGTCACGACATTTTCTTTCCTCTTCTCCTTGCTTTCAATTCCTGCACATCATCAAACAAGAACCTTTCCCATAAGGCAGCACCACTTTAAAAATAAAATGATGCGACAAACTGAATTCCACCACATGCAACTAAATGCTTCTAAAGGCATCTACATGGTCCTAAATGAGCTTTTAAACATTCAATAACTTAAGTGAAAAGGTCCCAAAATCTGACCTTTTTATGGAGTTATCAAAGAGCGAGAAATGGTGAATATATAAGAAAATGGAGATGAACTCTAGGGTGAAAAACCAAAAATGGGCAGTCTAGAGGGATCCAAAAAAAAAGAATATAAAAAACAGGTAGCAAGCAGATCCAAGCCAAGAAAAGCAAGATTGAAGGGATCAAAACGAATTGATCATTGATTCAATTACCCTTAAACACTTGTTTGGGTCTATTTATCCATTTCTTTCATAACCGTGAGCCCTGGCCTATGTTACGTGCCTGAAAAGTCAATTCTAATCATACATGGATTTCTAAGTGAATGAGATTATCTTCATATTTCATTCCTCTTCTCAGGGTTAATTTTTATTTGTAAAAATTGGTTTTCTGAAATATTTAATGCATGATAGGAAAAATAATAAAGGGGGTTCAAGACGTAGAATTTTAAATAACGTCTTGAAGCCAAAGGAGGATTCGAGTTGAAAACCTAAAAGGGCTGCTCAAATATTAAATTGTGCAATGATGACATAAGAGATGATCTTACAAAGCTCTTGATAAAGTACCACACATCCCAAAAGTGTTCCTGAGAGTTTAGAACCAATAAGTATCTCTAAAAGATTAGCATAACAACCACTTCTTCAAGTCAGTGGATGCCCAAAGAGACATATATGTTGTAATAAAAAGGCCAACTTGAGAGACCTTACCTCTTCAGAATTAACCTACACCTTAAATTTGTCAATAATTTTGACACTTGCCAATGGGCTATGATTTTTTGAAAGATTAAAATAGTAGTTAACTTTTTTGATATTCATTAAACTCTTTTTTTATGATTTGTCTAAATTGTGAAACCTAGAAATGGGCAATATTTTTCAAAAAAAATTATTAAACATTTTTCAAATTTTTAATTGATATTTTCAATTTTTTGGAAATAAAAAGAAGAAGAAAAATATTTTCAAACAAGGCAATCTCTCTGGAGTAGGTCTTGGTAGTTGACACACACAGAGTTCATGCTTAGAATCAGGGCTAGAGCAAGAAAATGATAAATGTTAGGGCATTTTTGAAGGCCCATATCATCGAATAATACAAGATCATCGAATTGAACAAAAAATTATTTTCAATGAAACATAAAGGTGTGAAGAATGAAAATGGTGAAACAATGAATTTTCTTTTAAAAATCAATACAAAACTTAAAGGGATAAGTTCGAGGTTAGCAATTGAGAAAACACCTTCAATTCCAATTGATTCTAAGGTTCCAACCATCATCCTTGGCATAGATGTGTCTCATGGCTCTCCTAGGCAGTATGATATTCCATTAATTGCTGCGATGGTCAGCTCTAAGCAATAACCTTTGATTTCCCGCTATAGGGTAACAACACATACACAGTCTCCAAAGCTTGAAATGATGGATCCTCTTTTCAAATATGAAAGTTCTATTGGATTTCTACACAAGATCTGGAAGAGAAAGGTAATCTCATTAGGGGCAAAAACTTTCTGGGGGTAAGTAGAAACCGGGACAACTCAAGAATTGCAAGAGTGCAAGCTAGTACAAACAAAAGACAACTTAGTCAGGAGGAGAATGAAGATCGCTCTAGTAGCCGTTCCCACCACAGATCAAGAAAACATGCATTTATACATGATACATGAATTTGTGGAATCTCACCATACATAATTTCATACATACATGATAAATTTTGATCTCTCTCATGAGGATATATGTTAAACTATGTTTTGATATTTTTTTATCTCTCTTAAGATGGTTTCCCTTGAAATTTCAATCGTGGCCTTCTTAGAAGATGTCTCCTACAAAACTCAATCCTGTCGTACTAAAATTTATTTTCCCTTTAAGCTTCAACTTGAGTCCCTCGTGAAGAGGAATCAATATCTCAATGTCATTCTTGACTTCCTCATGAAGAGAAATCAATCTTTGTTATTCTTTACTTCCTCGCGAAGAAGAGTCAATCTTTCAATTTCATTCTTGACTTTCTCGTAAAGATAGGTCAATCTTTAAGTATTGTCTTTCTTGACTCCCTCTTGAAAAGAAGTCAATCTCCAAATGTTATTCTTGACTTCCTCGTGAATAGAAGTCATTCTTTTGTTATTCTTGACTCTTTCATGAATCCTTCGCGAATAGGAGTCAATCTTTCTATACCATTCTTTACTTTTTCATTGGAGAAAAGTCAATCTTTCAGTATTGTCTTTCTTGACTCCCTCGTGAAGAAGAGTCAATCTCCCATGTTATTCTTGACTTTCTCGTGAAGAGAAGTTAACCTTTGTTATTTTTGACTTCCTCGTGAAGAGAAGTCAATCTATATTATTCATGACTCTCTCATGAAGAGGAGTCAATCTTTCAATGTTATTATTGACTTCCTCGTGAAGAGAAATCGATATTTGTTATTCTTGACTTCCTCGTGAAGAGAAGTTGATCTTTGTTATTCTTGACTCCCTCATAAAGAGGAGTCAATCTTTCAATGTTATTATTGACTTCCTCGTGAAGAGAAGTTAATCTTTGTTATTCTTGTCTCCCTCGTGAAGATGAGTCAATCTTTCATTGTCTTTCTTGACTCCCTCGTAAAGAGGAGTCAATCTTTCAATGTTATTGTTGACTTCCTCGTGAAGAGAGGTCAACCTTTGTTATTCTTGGCTTCCTCGTGAAGAGAAGTTAATCTTTGTTATTCTTGACTCCCTCATGATGAAGAGTCAAGCTTTCAATATTATTCTTGACTTCCTCATGAAGAGAGGTCAATCTTTTTTATTCTTGGCTTCCTCGTGAAGAGAAGTCAATCTTTGTTATTCTGGACTCCCTCGTGAAGAAAAGTCAATCTTTCAATGGAAATCTTAACTTTCTCGTGAAGAGAATTCAATTTTTCGATGTTGTCTTTCTTGACTCCCTCGTGAAGAGAAATCAATCTTTCAATGTTATTCTTGACTTCCTCGTAAAGAGAAGTCAATCTTTGTTATTCTTTACTCTCTCGTGGAGAGGAGTTAATCTTCCAATGTTATTCTTGGCTTTCTCGTGAAGAGAAGTTGATCGTTCAGTATTGTTATTCTTGCCTTTCTCACAAAGAGAAGTCAATATTTTGGTGTTGTCCTTTTTTATTTTCTTATGAAGAATAGTCAACCTTTCAGTAGTATCTTTCCTCAACTTGGCTTTCTTGTATAGAGGAGTGAGTCATTCAGTAACGTTGTCTTCAATCTTGATTCTTTTAGGATTTGTGTCCTAGAAAGTTCACTTTATTCTTTCTTGAGATCATTTCCCTAGAAACCTCAACCTCATCTTCCATAAGACTCTAGAAATTAACCTTATCTATTTTGGGTTGTTTCGGTGAAATTTCTAATTTTTTCTTTCTCAAAGACCTTTTCACTTTTTCAAAAGATTATGTCACAGTCGGGGGAGATGGACGTGAAAATGAAGAGGAAATTAGGGAAAGATAGAGTCAAGGGTTAGGGATTGAAGATAAGGAATTAAGGATTGAGGCACGTGAAGGGTAGATGATTTACTTATCATTTGAAGTGAAGCAAGCTAAATCGGTCCAGGAGGAGTTGGGGCAGCCCGAGTCCAAAGGCTCAATATCTGCAAAAGAGAAGAAAGGATAAGCTAAGTTTATTATAGTCTGTTAGAAAGAACAGCCAGCTGGCATCATTTAAAATTACCGTTTGGCCATGTAAGTAAATAATACTTGCTATAGAGGCATAGTTTCCTCAAGTTATGAATGAAAACATTTCTCTTATCTAAATTATCTCTTTTCCTATTACCTTATTTTCGAATTCTTTTCTATTTCTCTTGAATCATAACAATTGGTATCCAGAGCCTCAATTCCTAGCAAGTTAAGTGGGTATGACAAAGAAGAACCAGAATATGGCTGAAGCTGATTTCTCTATGCTGCAAAAATAGATTGAAGATTTAAATGCGTTGGTGAAACAAGGCCAAGAAGAATCTAGTCCACCTAAATGGTGGGAAACTCAGGAAAATCAAATCACTACATTGGAATCAAGGATGTCTACTAATCAAGGTTATGTTGAGGAGCTGTTAAAGATCTTAACAAGCAGAAATGGTGAGCAAGAAAATTTTACTGATGAACAGGTAAAAACTCCTAATACCTCTAAAAACTAAGGGAATAATCCTATTGTGGTTACTGTGGTGAATGATAAATCCAGATTTACTTATAAAACTGATGAACACAGGATTTTAAAAGCTAAACATGATGCTTGTTTAGCCCTTAAAAATAGTTCTAAAATGATAATCAAGTAGGTGAAAACAATGAATCTAGACCTATTCTGTTGGGTTCTGAAGTAGAAATAAGAGGTCTATGGGGTTCCTTTATCAGTCCAGGTTCTATGTGGCATAGACCTAAAATTGACCTGCCATTTTTTGAAGGGATCAATCCTAGGGGGTGGCTTCAGAAATTCCTTAAATATTTCTCTCTTTGTAGTGTTCCTACAGATCATAGAGTGGGAGTAGCCACTATGTATTTAACTAGAAAAACAGAGATTTGGTTTGATGTATATATCATGCAGAAACACCATGTGACATGGCATGAATTTGAAGCAGATCTTTTTCACAGATTCAGTGACATGTCTTTTTCTGATATAGTAGAGGAATTCACTAAGTTGACTCACAAAGGGTCTGTTTAGGATTATCAAGAAAGATTTGAAGAGTTGCAACCTCATATGTTATTACAAAATCCTACATTAAATGAGGATTTCTTTGTGTCAATTTTTATCAATGGACTCAGGGAAGATATTAAACACAAGGTTAAGGCTTTAGAACCTAAAAACTTGTCTGAAGCTTGCAAACAAGCTAAACTTTATGAATTATCTGTTGAGTTTGAAAATAGAAGATTGAGGCCTTCTTTTAAAAACCTACCCTACCCAAACCCCATTACTAATTCTAAGACAACTACACTGCCAGTACCTTCTAAGACCATAATATTACCAAACCCTAAACATAACCTTATAAACTACAGAAGATAAAATAACCTTTATTTTAAGTATTGAGAGAATTTCTTCCAGGGCATCAGTGTAAGACAAAGAATTTAAACATGAAGATTGATGAGGAGTCTGCTATACCTATATAAACTTTACCTACTGAATCAGATCAGCAAATGTTGCAAGAAGATGAGAGCCTATAAATATCTATGAATACTATTACTGGCTACATTAGCCATAATACATTAAGGATTCAGGGAACAATTCAGGGCAGACCATTAAACATTCTGATTGACAGTGGTAGTACTCATAGCTTTCTAATACCACAATGGGTTGATGTTGGCATTCAAGTGCTTACCCTTTGGCTATTATAGTAGCTAATTGTCAACAACTCTACAGTTCAACAAGATGTAATAAGGTAGAGTGGTAGATGCAAGGACATTCTTTTATACATGATTTCAGACTCTTTAAACTGGGTAGGAGTGATATGGTGTTAGGTGTTGATTGGATGAAATTATTTAGTCTAATTTTGATGGACTTCAATCAAATGACAATGAGTTTTGAACATCATGGTGAAAATATTGTTATACAGGGACAACAACTATATATTTTTTTACAGTAAATTTCTGGGGCTACAGTATTGAAGATGACATCCTCAGATTCAGCTATTTTGGGACATGTGGTATTATTGAATATGTCTGAAAGTTTAAAGCCTATTTCTGTAGCTCTCAGACATCTCTTAGAAAGATATAAATCTATTTTTGATGAGCATATAGGTCTACCACCTACAAGGAACCATGACCATGCTATTCTTCTCAAACCTGAGTCTATTCCTGTGAATTTAGGACCTTACAGTTTCCCCATAATCAGAAAGCTGAAGTGGAAAAACATATTGCTAATATGCTCTCCTCCTTATTTATTCAACCCAGCAAAAGTCCATTTGCTTCTCCATGTCTCCTTATAAAAAAGGATGGTACTTAGAGGTTTTGTGTAGATTACAGGAAGCTAAACAATATGACAGTGAAGGATAAATTTCCTATTCCTGTTGTGGAGGATCTACTAGATGAACTACATGGAGCAGTCTATTTTTCAAAGATTGATTTAAAATCTGGTTATTGGTAAATTAGGATTAAGAGTGAGGATATATATAAGACAACATTCAGAACTCATCAGGGTTATTATGAATTTAAGGTAATTCCTTTTCGACTCACTAATGCCCCTACTACATTTCAAGTACTAATGAATGAATTGTTTAGTTCATTCCTCAGAAAATTTGTCTTGGTGTTTTTTGATGATATCCTAGTCTACAATACCTTTATAACATATCATATTACTCATTTACAACTGGTTTTGGAAGTTTTGCAAAAATAATCAGTTATTTTCCAAGTTGTCCAAATGTTTCTTTGGACATACTCAAGTAGAATATTTGGGCCATACTATTTTAGTTGTTGGAGTATCTATTGATCCTAATAAGGTGGCAGCTATGAGGAACTGGCATGTGCCTAAATCTTTAAAATCTTTGCATGGATTTTTGGGATTAACAAGATACTACAGAAGGTTTATAAAAGATTATGGAACAATCAGTAAACACTTGCCATAGATGCTTAAGAAGGACAATTTTAAGTGGAACACTGAAGCTTTAACTGCTTTTGAAAACTTGAAACAAGCTATGTGTGTTGCCCCTGTTTTACCTTTACCAAATTTTGGTAAGATGTTTTACTTGGAAACAAATGCCAATTCATGAGGCATTGGTGTTGTATTATCTCAGGATGACAGACCTATTGCCTATTTTAGTAAGGCTCTTAGTCCCAGACATGTTGCCCTCTCTATTTATGAAAGAGAGTATCTTGTTATTCTGTTAGCAGTCTCTAAGTGGAGCCATTTCTTAGAAAACAATCCTTTTGTTATCAAAATAGACCATGAACCTCTAAAGTACCTATTGTAGCATAAATTAACTACTGCAAATCAAAAGAAATGATTAACTAAACTATTGGGATTGGATTACACTATTCAATACAGGAAAGGTAAGTCAAATGTAGTTGCTGATGCCTTATCTAGACAGTGGAAAGATCAAGGTCAGTGTCTTGCTATGGGGACTACATTAATCATTTCTAGTTGGGTTCAAGACGTTGAGGGAAGTTATAAGGAGGATTTATTGGCTATTGAATGGATTTATATATTAACTGTTAATCCCAATGATGATCCTAAGTGGAAATACTCTAAGGGTATCCTTAGATTTAAGGAGAGGGTATATATTGGTACTGCTGGAGCTCTAGGACTACAGGTCCTTCAAACTATGCATGATTCACCTCATGGAGGCCATTCAGGAACCCAAGCCACCTATTAAAGGATTAGAGTTTATTTCTATTGGCCCAGGCTTAAAGCTACGGTAGCAGCTTATGTAAGATCCTGTACAATGTGTCAACAAACTGAAGTAGATCATATTACTAAACCAAGACTGCTACAACCACTACCTATTCCTCAATAGGCTTGAGAGGTAATTATTATGGACTTTATAGAGGGTTTACCTACATCTTTGAGAAAAAATTGCATTTTGGTGGTAGTTGACAAGTTTACTAAATATAGCCATTTTTACCACTTTCACATCCCTACTCTACAGCTGATGTAGCTAAATTGTATTTGGATAATGTTTATAAGCTTCATGGCCAACCTAAAATGGCCATTTCTGACAGAGACAAGACATTCACTGGTATCTTTTGGAGAGAACTAATGAAGCAATTAGGTACTAAAACCCTATTTAGTACTGCTTACCATCTAGAGAGTGATGGCCAAACATAAAGGGTTAACCAATTTCTAGAACAATATCTAAGGGGATTATGGTTTTTTCAACCAATGCAGTGGGCTAAATAGTTGCCTCATGCAGAGTGGTGGTATAATACTACCTATCACATTGCCCTAAAACTTACGCCCTTTAAAGCATCATATGGCTACAAACCTTCTACAATGGTATGGCAAACAGAAACACAAGTGCAGTCTATTAGTGAATTAATGCGTAACAGAGAAGATATTCGATAGTTAGTGAAGTTACAGTTAGAAAATATAAGCAATTGGATGAAACAACAAGCATACAATAAAAGATCAGAAAGGATATTTGCAGTTGGGGATGAAGTTTACCTAAAATTACAACCTTATAGACAAACTTCCATGGCCCTATGAAAAAAATTTGAAGGTAGCGGCCAAGTATACCTTACAAAATTAAGGAGAAGATTGGAGAGGTCGTTTATCATTTAGACTTACCAGAGACAACACGCTTGCATCCGGTTTTTCATGTGAGTCTCTTGAAGAAACACGTTGAGGATTCAACAATATCATCAAAGGATCCTCCTACATTGGATGAAGATGGTCAGTTTTGAATCGAGCCACATAAGATACTTGGCAGAAGAATTATGAATCGACAAAACAAACATGTCACTCAATTACTTGTGCGATGGACAAACCTTGATGAGACGAGTGATACCTGGAAAGATTATACTGGTCTCGGAGGACAGTTTCCAAACTTTGATCCTTGGGGAAAAAGATCTTCTCCAGCGGTGGGTATTGTCATATTCAGGGGAGATGAACGTGAAAATGAAGAGGAAATTGGGGAAAGAGATAGTCAATGGTTTTGGATTGAAGAGGAGGAATTAAGGATTGAGGCACGTGACGGGCAAAAGATTTACTTACCATCTGAAGTGGAGCAGGCTAAACCGGTCCAGGAGGAGTTAGAGCAGCCCAAGTCCAAAGGCCCAATATCTGCAAAAGAGAAGAAAGGATAAGCTAATTTTGTTATAGTCTGTTAGAAAGGACAGCCATCTGGCATCCTTTAGAATTACCGTTTAGCCTTGTAACTAAATAATACTGGTTATGGAGGCATATTTTCCTCAAGTTATGAATAAAAGCATTTCTTTTATCTGAATTCTCTCTTTTCTAATTACCTTATTCTCGAATTCTCTTCTATTTCTCTCCTATTTCTCTCGAACCATAACATATTAATGATAAATGATTTGCTTCACTGCATTCATTATTCAAATACCTTACACTTTCAAGATGAATATTTTATAGGTTTTTCAAGAAAACTACAGATTTATGACAAGTAGAAGTCATTAACCAATTCAAGGTCCCAAGAATGGAGAGGTTCAAATGGCATTCAAGTAAAGGTAGATTCCCATATCTGGTAGCTGCGAGACAAATTTCCACAGGAGAAATTTATTTTCAAAGATTATCCCAGATTCTAAACCTTTTGGTGTGCTGGTTTCAAATTCTCAAACAATACGCTGATGATTAACAATGTTTTGATTTTCATATTTGGTCTTCTTAAAGAGCAGCGAAGCAAACCACGTTCGATTCGATCTTTCCTGAAGAGTAGTGAAGTAGATCAAATATTTCTCGAGTCTGATATCCTCTAAAGAGTAGTGGAGCAGATTCTTCTTCTTTTAGATTTGGTTTTATTGAAGACAAGCGAAGTAAATCATGTTCTATTCAATCTTTCATGAATAATATTTATGTAGATCAAAGATTTCTTGAGTCTGATCTCCCCTAAAGAGTAGTGAAGCAAATTCTTCATCTTTCAGATTTGGTCTTCCTGAAGAGCAGTGAAGTAAATCGATTCTGATTCAATCCTCCTTGAAGAGAAGTGAAGTGGATTAAAATTTTCTTGAGTCTGACCTCCCCTAAATAGTAGTGGAGCAGACGCTTCTTCTTTCAGATTTGGTCTTACTAAAGAGTAATGAAGCAAATCGATTCTGATTCAATATTCCCTGAAGAATAGTGAAGTGGATCAAATTTTTCTCGAGTCAAATCTCCCTTAAAGAGTAGTGGAGCATATTCTTCTTCTTTCATATTTGGCCTTCCTGAAGAGCAGTGAAGCAAATCGATTCCGATTCAATCTCCCCAAAAGAGCAGTGAAATGAATCAAATACTTCATATCTAATTACCTGAAAAGTGAAGCAGATCAAATCTGACATACACTGGAGGAATAGTGGAGCAGACCTCTCACGAGACTCCAGAGCATGTATTCAACCGGACAAAAACTCGTTGTCTTTTTGTCTTTGACCCGTTCTTGTTAACACAAGAATGTGTAAAGAGGGGTAGCTGTCGACCCCCGTTTTCATCCTATTACTATTAGTATTATTATTATTAATTATTATTATTTAATATTAGTATTATTATTTATTATTATTTATGTTATTTTTACAAACAAAAAAATAGAAAAAAATAGAAAAGTACAAAAAACAAAAAATGACAAAAAAAGCTGCCCCTACTTTACCCCTCTCTGTACACCCTGTTGATACCGACACCAAACACGCTCAGCGACTGAACCGTTGATCGCTTGTAAATTTTTATGCTAAGGAAAGCAAATCTGTATAAGTATACATAACGATTCAGGTAATATAGGGTAAGTGAGTATCGTCTCCACATCGATTGGTTGAGAAATATATTTTCACCACAACTTTTGCTTCGATAACAATTATTTCTATGTTCAGAATGAATTATTATGACTTACGAAAGCTGCACGACAGGATTACTAGGTATTCTTAGACAGTTTCTATGGCAATACTCCTCAACGTTAACTACAACCCTTGGTTTGTCAAACTATTATTGTAGCAATACCTCTCAGCGTAAACTATAGGTGTTGTCTATCCTACTCTAGCATCTATCCCTTTTAGTCGATTAAAACTCACTCCTTATCTCTAAGGTAACAAGTTAGAACTTCACCATCCCGGATTCATTCCATTGCTCATGTGGATCTATATTAATTCTCTCGAATCTAAGAGTCACTATCTAGACAAAAGGTTATCTCTCGATGTTATTATATTACCAAGACCTATTTTACCAATACCCCAGGCAATCTCTCGATGCTCTTACAGCGTAAGGCAAAATATTTAAACGATGAGCAAAACAATCATACGCAAAACATAATTCATCATTCATAAACATAAAAATATTTTTCAGGAAAAACAAAGTTTAACACCAAGTAAGACATCTATGGCGCTATCAAAGATCATCCAAAATTCAACGTTTAGTACAACCCCAAATAGATAAAGAGTTAAAAATAAAGGAATAACAACTCCCAAAACCAGGGGCTCTATCACGACGATTCTGATCAGCACTACGCCTGCCTTGGTGATCACCCTCTCTCAAGGCCTGATCACCGCTCTGCTAACATCTGGTTATGGAGGACATCAAGGAAGGTCAGTGGGTAAACGGTGAAGAAGCACTGCAGTTGCTTGCTCACGCCTTGTATAAAGCTCTTATCTCTTCTTCCTTGCCTTATTTCTTTGTCGGCTACGGCTGGTTATTTATAAGGGAGGATCTCTTAGGCCTTTGCATGCTTTTAGAGTTTCTTTAAATAACCGTTATTAAATGTCCAGACTAAAAAAGAAAGGCGACTATCAGAATAATTAAGGCTTGCTTGCACGTGAAGTAGGTCATCTAGCTGGCATGTGACATAGGCGGTTTCATCACACCTACTTTAGACTTCTTCAGATAAACCTTGCCTTGGTAATATAAATTTGCTTCTCACGTTCTCATTTGTTCCGTTGGCCGTTGCAAATTTCCGTTGTCACGACTGAAATGTTCTTCCTCTGTAGGTTTCTTGCACAAACACAATCCAAACAACCCTTTCTCCTCAGCAACATCAGTCAACCCAAATAAATCTTGTCTGAGCAAAATTTGTCCACTACAAGCTAATGTAACCTATATGCAACTAAATGCAGCTAAAATGTTATGCATACTTTGTTTAGACGATCAATAACTTAAGTGAAAAGACTAGAAATTAAGTCTTTTTACAAAGTTATCATACCCCCAAACTTAAGCTATTGCTTGTCCTCAAGCAATGTACAATAGCTAGCAGAAAATCAAAATTGTCATGGCAAATCAGAGTTAAGAAAATCATATGGTTTGAGATTTCAGCCCTCAAGAAAAATTGTTTGGCCTCAACATGTTCGACAATCATATCAGTCAAGTCCCTTCCTTAGTGTGGATTCTTTGCTATAGTGTGTTCGTGATTGTAACCAGTCTATGCATGAAGGAAATTAGAAAACTTAAGTAAGCACTTTTGGTTTGTCAGGCTTAGTTTATACTCCTAGTTATTTATCAACTTTTTATTCCTCTTTTTTTTATAGGGGAGTCAGCTCATCACAATTATTGTTCCACACTCTAGATGAAAGGGAGCATACATTCCACCCCCAAGCTAGTTGGGAAGAGTCATCTTGTGACTACTTTCATTCACTCATGTGCCTTGGCTACTCTTAATTTCTTATGGAATTTTTCTGTTTATGCCTTTGCACAGAGAAGTGTCCCTTTCTTATTTTTCAAGTTTTTAAACACTAGAGAGTTTTCACTTTA